CCACGACCCCCAACATAAACAAAATCCTCTATGTGGGCATGCCTTGAACCACAATGCATGGCCGTACAGAGGATTTTTTTCCTGTGGCGGACCGGGGGAACATGCAATGAATTATTGATCATTTATTGCGTTTTTTTTTTTTTTTTTTTTTTTTTTTTTTGTATTTGTCCGCTATTTTGCGACGTACCCTAGCCCCTGCTGCGTACAGTCATGATACAGTGGCTAATTAATGGCCTCGTTACTGTGAGACCCCAGAATAAAATCCGTGTCGATCAGCTATATTAGTGCCCTTTGTGGGGCATTAATCCTCATTACTGTCAGTTATGACTTAAGGACGTAGGTCCCCTAGTTGATCAGTATAGTAGCACATACATGCTCTAGCAGTCACGCAAAACAAACACTCGCAAATTATTATCCAATAATGAGAATGTATACTATTATTGATTTATTAGGAATAAACCATTGTCAAAATCATTCCATAATTATGACCAACAGTGTACAATGGTGAGACTTGCCTTTTGTCTTGCGAACTCAGCATGTCATCTCGAAGACAATGAATGTCATACTAGCTATTTGTCAACCAAGTTGGGGCGTGGCTTGGGGCACTTGCTTTTAAAAAAGGTTTCTTTTTCTGACGGAAAATAATTATGAACACCCAAACTTCTTTTACCATTGCGTTCATAACTCTTAAAATTAAAGAAGATTCATAATTCCGAAAGCCTAGTGTAATGTTTCTAAAAGGTGGGCGTGGGGAATGAATTTCCCATTTTCATTTCTGAATTTTGTCCGTACAGGATATACTATGGCCCTCTATTGGTTCTAATAAAAGGGTGTTCAGTAACGGACAAACAAGTGTTTTACCCATATTTTTTTCTTCTTCAATTTCATTATTTTCTTTTGAAGTTGTCGAAAAGAGCTGCTGATGTTTTAATAATTTTTTTTTTTTTTTTTTTTTTGGGGGGGGGGGGACTTTCAGAAAATTGAGGGTATTTGAATTAAAATACCAGGTGAACTTGTTTTAGCTTGTCATTACAATTTAGGAATATTGTTAACCCTTTGTTAACCCTGAATAACCATTTAAATATTCCAGCTTCTATCCGTTTTTATATATTTTTGTATTCTTCAAACATCAATGCCCTCTTCCCTTATACCCATCTTACACAGATCGCGCGACCCCCGGAAATACACCCGTCGATTGCGAGGGTGATAATGAAAGGCAAAGACTGTCTCCGTGTTAGCACTGAGGGTGTATTATTTTCTCAGCTGATTGGGCGCGCGACACGGAAACAGTCCAGGCAGCGGACTACTCTTTGACCTGCTGAAGCATTAACGACCTTCCGCAAGGCATCATCAATCTCGTTGGTAAGCTTTTCCTCTTGTTCGCTGGTAAACATCTTCCCTTCCACACCGTCTTCTTACTGGTAATCGCAGTGGCGGATCCAGGGGGGCCGAAACGGCCGCGGCCCCCCCTATTGGCGGCGCAAAAAAAAGGAAGAAAAAAGAGGAAGAAAAGAAAGAGAAAAAAAAGGAGAAGAGGAGAAGAAAAAAAGGAGAAGAGAAAAGAAAGGAGAAGGGAAAAGAAAAAGGAAGAGAAGAGAAAAGAGAAAAGAAAAGATAAAGAAGAAAGCCCCCCCCCCTCCCCCTCCCTCCCCCTCCGGGGTCGGAGGGACCGAATTTGTGTTCCCAAAATTTCCGATAAAGTGTTACTTTTCACGCAACAAAGTCCGGACCGTAATACACAAAAATCCGGCCCGTACTGACTTACACCGGAGATAGAGGGGTGCTTTCAAAGAGAGGGAACATACATGTGCGTACCCTATAGTAAGTGGATGGGGGGGGGGGGATTCGGTGAGAAAGGGGGAAAGACAAGGAAATGGCGCTAAGTGACAGTAACGACGAATAAGGGAGAACTGTAATCGGGAGATTTGGGGTCATTCCAGAAGGTTTGGCAAACGTTATTGAATAGAGGGGGCCGGGCCGGCCGCATAAAATCTCGAGCCGCGGATTCAAAGTTAAACGTAAAAAACAGCCCCCTGCGCTACAAAGGTCATCACTCTTTAGTGAGAAATTTGAAAAGGGCACAATATTTTGGATGTCTTTTAAATAGAAGCTATATACTCAACAGTCAAATTTTAAATTAACGGTTGGGCCGCTTCATTACTCTTCATTTGAATTCAGCTCATACCAACTCGCTCGTGTTTGTATTTGAACTCATGTTGGTAGTAATCATGGACAGGGGCGGCAATCCTGGGCCCGATAGGGAGACACGTCCCCCAGGAAATTTAGAAATATAGCGGAATTTTCTAGAATGCATAATTTCAACATTGCAAAATCTTGCTTGGTTGCTACGCCCCGGCCCTCGCCCGATAACACAAAACTATGATATGACGCTCCCGGCCGTGATTTATGCATGGTTAGTGTAATAGATCTTTTCTCCCTTTCATTTCTACTAACCTAATTGTGTGCTATCACAATCATGATTGTTTCATTTTCCCTTTAAAGCAGGCGCGTAGCCAGGGGCGGTAGGGGCAGGAAGAGGACGAAAAAGGAGCAGACAAAGAAAACAAACAAAAATTCTGACAAGTCGAGTACGGTACAACGAATCGTTTTCTTTCTCTAATAATTGTATGTAATGTCAAAGCTTCCGCGCTTCGCTCGGGAGGGGGGCAACTGAAATCAGACAAGGAATGGTAAAACGAATCGTCTACTTTGTCTAATAATTTAATGAAACGTCAGAAGTTTACGCGCTACGCGCGGGCGGGGAAAAACTGAATTCAGCCAAGGATTTAGAGTCGAGAATGGAACAAAGAATCATCTTCTTTCTCTAATAATTCAATGAAACGTCAAAGCTTACGCGCTACGCGCGGGCGGGGAAAAACTGAATTCAGACAAGGATTAAGAGTCGAAAATGGAACAACGAATCATCTTTCTCTAATAATTTCATTAAACTATGAAAGGCCAAAGTTTCCGTGCTTCGCGCGGGAGGCGGGGGGCTGAATTCAGTCAAGTAATAAGAGTCGAAATGGTACAACAAATCTTCTTCTTTCTCTAATAATTAATGAAACGTCAAAGCTTCCGCGCTTCGCGCGGGAGGGGGAAAACTGAATTCAAACAAGAATTAAGAGACGAGAATGGTACAACGATTCGTCTTCTTCCTCTAATAATTTAATAAACCGTCAAAGCTTACGCGCTACGCGCGGGCGGGAAAAAACTGAATTCAGACAAGGATAAAGAGTCGAGAATAGTACAAAGAATCGTCTCCTTTCCCTTATAATTTAATGAAACGCCAAAGCTTCCGCGCTTCGCACGGGAGGGGGGGGGAAAACTTAGTTCAGAGAAGGATTAAGGGTCGAAATTGTCAAGTAATACGAGTCGAGAATGGTACAACAAATCTTCTTCTTTCTCTAATAATTAATGAAAGGCCAAAGCTTTGAAAAGCCAAAGCTTCCGCGCTTCGCGCGGGCGGGAGGAAACTGAATTCAGACAAGGATCAAGAGTCGAGAATGGTACAACAAATCGTCTTTCTTCTCTAGTAACAATTAATGAAGGGTCAAAGCTTCCGCGCTTCGCAGCGAGCTGCCCGAATATGAGTTTTTGATATCTTTTCTCGTTTATTTTGGTGATAAATAACGCTTTCACAAATTATTGTTGCTCGCTCCCTTCGCTCACTATTTCGAATTGTGAAACCCGAAAATTACTTTCCGGGCAAGAGGCTATACCCCCCCCCCCCCCCGATGAAAATGTCAAAAATTCTACCGGTATCGTGCTTCTAATATGACCTTGTCAGTATTGGTATGTTGAGTTGAAAAAATGGTCTGCGCAATTTTCAAATTTCCGGCCCCCCCTATTGGAAAATCCTGGATCCGCGCCTGTAATCGTACCCGTCGTCAACGTAGAGATCATACCGATATTCATCATCGAGGGCAAGAGAGAACAACCGAGGAATATGTCTTATTTGAAGAAAAACATAGAAAATGCCTATAATGTTTTTAAGGTAAGGCACTGGCGGAATTATTATTATTATTTTTTAAATCGTTAATTTAACCTTGCAAAATAATATTTACCAAACAACCTTTCTCTCCCCACAACATCTCTCTCTCGTCCCCCCTCTCTCTCTCTCTCTCTCTCTGTCTCTCGTTTTTTTTCTCTCTCTCTCTCTCCTCGTCTCTCCTTTTCTTTACCCCTCTCTCCCTCTTATCTTATCTCCCTTTCTCCGTACCAAGTTCTCTCTCTCCATCGGACACATACACACACACCCACATAGTACTTCCTCGCACACTTTATATCACCCTTAGTCTTTCTCTGCCACTCACCACCTCGATCTCGCTCTCCCCTTCTCGATCTCTTTTCGTATAGTCTCTCTCTCTCTCCCTATATATATATATATATATATATATATATATATACACTGTTGCTCATAAAGTTGGAATATTTTTTTTTACCCCAAGTTATGGAATTATTTTGACAATCATTTATTCCTAATAGATCTAGATAATAGTATACATTCTCAGATTTTATTGAATAATAATTTGCCAGTGTTTGTTTTGCGTGACTGCTAAAGCATGTGTATGCTAATATGCTTATCAGCTAGGAGACCTGCGCCCTTAAGTCATAAATGACAGTAATAAGGATTAAGGCCCCACAAAAGGGCACTAATATAGCACATTGACACGGTTTTGATCCTGGGGCCTCACAGTTACGAGGCGAGGCCATTGCTTTGCCACTGAACCATGACTGTACGCAGCGGGGACTATGGTAGGGGGCAGTTCCCACAAATATAAAACAACAAAGAAAATGCAATAAATTATCAATAATTATGGCTCAAGCCATGGGCACACAGAAGAGTTTTGTTGTTGAAAAGTTATAATTGATGAACACAACTTCAGGTCCAAGGGGGGGGGGGGGGGGGGCAGCAACGAAAAATGACCTATCACCCCATGATCTTTTAATCCTAGTCTTAATCCATGGATAATACTTCAAATCTGTTCAAATTACATACGTATTTATTTATTTATTTCTAATCTTTTGTCAGGGTATCCCATTCACCAATAATTAGTGGTCTTCCTTGGGGCCCTGAATAAACATGAACATATTTACATAAAAAAGCATAACGTTTATACAGAACAGTTAAAACAAATTTCCAAAGTACATTTAGAAAGATATGTCACAGCGATAAAAGACGTGGCAAAAATAATAATCGTTTGCAAAATAAACATATATCATTAACCTAGTACAACAGTAATGTGAATAGGAAAATATTGATTAAGTCGCAATCATGCGAATAAATCATGTTAATATTACAAAACATGCACATGGTGTTTGTTCGGCTGAGCCATTCACAAATTACAACTTTGTTTAAACAATATCTTAAATAAATTGACAGAAGAAGCCGTTCTCATCGAATTATCTAGCTTATTCCATTCAAATATAGAAGAAACGATTGGGCTACACTTATAACAACCAGTGTGAAATCTAGGCACACGTAAACATCCACTGTCTATTTGCCTTGTATGATGCTCATGTACATCATTAGGATTAATTAAGCCTACCTAAAGGAAAGAAGTTGCTATGAACGCATTTATATACCATAAAAACTTTAAGAAATATTCCGTCTGTCTTGCCAGAATTTTATATAATTAATACTCTTTATTTCAGAAAAGGATAATTTATCAACAAATTTCAATGTTATTTTGTGAAGCAGATTTTGCACAAAAATCTGCCATCTACATTTCATGTAATTTTAACTCTTCTTTTCCAAGTTTTACCTGAAAAGTCCGCTCTTTCAAACAATTATGAAGAAATTCTAGCATATTACCATGTACTGATAGTTTGTACATTAGACCTTTGATACAAAGTCTATTATCTGCCTTTTCAATATCAAACATTGATAATATATATTCACCAACATTTATGCTTCTTTGGATGGCATTCTTAAAAATGTACAATGTTATCCATGACACCACGTTTGCTACGAAAGCTTGTCATGAAGGGAGCCTGTCATTGGAGTCTCTTCTTTGCAATCCGTTCTATTATCTTGGTAAAACATGAGGTAAGTGCTATGGGTCGGTACGACGATACATTTTGGGGTCCTTATCTTGTTTTAACACATGTATTAGGATAGAGTGTTTAAGACTTGGAGGTATGTTACCCGTATCCCATATTAAGTTCATGACGTTTAGCATATATTGTTTTGCCTTTTGAGGAATTTTCTGATAGACCTGATATAAAGGGATCATCTCTTTTCCAGGTGCTGATTGTTTTTAAAGTGTTTAGAGTTCTTTGCAATTCAAGAAGCAAGACTGTTCTTGATTGGTTCATTCAAGGCATGCTCGGTTCCCCATTTCAGTGACATCGTGACATGTTGCTCATCACTTCTTCAGACTTAAACAGTGAAATTGAATTAAACGAAATATAACAACGCGAATGTATATGTACATTCCAAACCACATTCAGATGGGTAAAATATCATTCATTTTCTTGTTATATCCTAGTTCCCGCACTAGCTTCTCCCACATTAGTTTTTGTCCATATTTATCTTCTGACCATCGATAATACGGTTTGTTCTTGCTAAGGAATAGCCTTACAAGATATGGTAAATGCCCATCAGGAATGTCTTCCTTGAATATCAAAATTACCTTTTCTAGCTCGACCTCATTCATTTGGTCAACCGCGAGACGGAGTTTGCTGATGAACGAGTGATTGTCTACGGCTCTATTGCTCACGATCAGGATGCTTTTATAACTTTGCTCGAAGACTTCGGTGATGGCCTCAATGTAGTACATTCCAAGCGGAAGGTCGTCATCTCCGCACACGATCCTGCCGAAATCAGGTAGTCGTTCTTCGAGTCCTGGTTTCAATATTTCCCTAACCCACTGTTCGTCATCGTTGTGGAACGCGAGGTTGATGTCGTATTCGTAATCGAGCCTCTCTCGTCCGTCGTGGTCGTCCGGTCTGCCAAGAAATACTAATGTCAGATGGAATAATTTGTAATTGATCAACCATCTCCTTTGATAAGCCACAACACAGACCACGATACAGGTGACAATAACAAAGGTCGTGATGATGTAGACCCAGACTTTAGTTCCGCAGACCTCGGTGGGATCAAATGCAAGAATGGGCTGATTCTTAAATGGTGCTAGAGAACCAGATGAACAGTTCGTTTGGTCAGGATGGATGATAGATACTTCGGCTTCGTTAATCCAATTTATAAACCATGTAAACTCACAGTTACAACTGAAAGGATTGTTGGAGACATCCAGTGTTTGTCTAGGTAGAACTGTACCCTCTTTGACAGTGGTCAGATGGTTGTGGGATATATACAGATATGACAGGTGTGGGTTATTTGCGAAGACATCTGAAGCTAAGCCTTTGATCTCGTTGCTTTTTATGGACACTCCGAATAACGAGCTAAGATCGGCGAGGTGTCGAGATGTCAGTTCTGCGATGTGATTTTCATTAATGAAAAGGGACTGTAATGATGTCAGATTCATAAAAATATCCTCATTCAGGGAGCTGATCTCAGAATCATCCATTTCAAGATGTCGTAGGTTTTGGAGACCTTGAAATGTTCCCGGTTTTAGCTTGTTAAGTTTGTTCCCTTTGATGTAAAGACGTTCTAACGTTGATAGAGCGGACAACACTGGAAGATCTTCATGATGTGAATCCCAGAAGCTGGAAGCTGTTAGCCCTGATCCCCGCATACTTAATTTCCTAAGATTGGACAGTCCTATAAAGAGTTCATACGACAATGCGACTGACGTATAAGACATGTCCAGTATTGTAAGCTCATTCAGATTCGTGAACGGACTATGCAACTGACCCAAATAAGACAAATGTGACAAACTCAGAATCTGAAGACGGCCAATGGATGCAAAAGCTCCATTTTCAATGGTTGTTAATAATCGGTTGTTGGATATATCGAGAGTTGTGAGGTTTGCCATTCCATAAAAGGAGTTCTTGTTAATACGCATAAGTCGGTTATGCGATATGTCTAGGAAATTTAAATTTCGTAGATTCCATCCCCCGCGCTGTAGAATGAGATCAGTTATTCTGCACCTTGCTAAATTAAGAGTGGTTAGTGATGCTATATCACCAAACTGCTTTGGACTCAGCTCCGTGAACCAATTACTCGGTAGCACCAAGGATTGAAGTCGCGGGCTAAATAAAAACATATCTTTGGTGACATAGGAAAGATGGTTTCCCGTCAAGTCAAGAATTTCCAGTGAATTAAGTCCTTCAAATGAATCATTTTGCAAAGTCTTTATGCGACTCTGGTGGATGTCAAGTCTGATAAGGTTGCCCAAACCCCAGAAAGCACGTGGGGGAATTGAAGGGATACGGTTGCCCTGTAAGTCTAGGGATGTCAAGTTGGGCATTAGATTTGTCTGATTTGGTAGAGGGGCTAGCGGTTCAATCGCTGAAATCAAGTTTGTTGCCATATGAAGAGTTTCCAAAGAGGACATTCCCAGAAACGAATGGAGGCTAAAATTGCGGATCTGATTAGCCGTTAGGCGCATCTCTCTCACGCCCTCAAGATGTTGGAACAAGCCATCCTGTAGCGAGGTGATTTTGTTGTTGAAGAATGTTATCAGGTCGATTCTTGTGTCCTTGAGGGGAAGAAAATCGTCTTCATGAAAGGACGAAAAATGATTTGTTTTCAGTAGAAGCAAAGTCATGTTTCTGCTTCTCCATCCTGTAAAGTGTAAGCTTGACATAAAGTTCTGATCCAAGCGCAGTTCAGTCAACGAAGGCACAGAATTCAATGCGTTTCCAGGGAAACTTACAAATCGATTTGCCGTGAGATCAACAAGTTCCAGCTTTAGATTTTTGGAGAATATAGTAGTTGGTAGAGATGTGAAATTGTTATTTGTCAGCATGATTGAATAGAGCTCAGGTAAAGCTTGAAACGCACCCGGCTCGATAGTACTCATATTGTTCGAGTTAAGATATAGGTACCTCAGATGTGGAAGGCTACTGAAAGATGTGTTAGTCAATTTGGTCAGTTGGTTATGGGTGAGATCTAACACGATGATGTCATCGGTGAGGTTAGTAGGTACCGCTGTCAGATTACGGTGTGAACAAGTGGCTTTCAATCCTTCGCTGGTTGTTTCATAATGACACGGTACCCCTCTTAAATCCGCAGCATCGGCTCCAGTGTGTCCAATGGAATCCATCATTAATGAATATGCTATGATACAGGTGATCCACAACAGTCCAATGCTCTCCATTGCAATCATCTACTGTGTCATTAGATGGCAGAACGCGTCAAAGCTCAGGCTGTTTATTTTTAAAGTGATATTTACTTGGTCGTGATTTCCACTCAATCAAAATGAATTAAAGTTGGATGTACCATCTAGTTTCGTAGTCTCTAGAAAAGACAATGGCGTCATTCCTTGTGTCTCAAAAATTACCAAGCGATCTGTCCAAAAGTAATTGACTAGGAAACTAGACAGTCGTTCCAAGTAAAGCTATAGTTTATTTGATCATAAGGGAATGAAAGCTCGTAGCCTTCCACCTTGTAGAACACTGAATTCTGGTCGAAAGAGATGTTGTTCGATCTTTCTCAAGTTTGTGTCTTCCTCTATGGTTAAAATCTGTAGAAACAAAAATATAAGAGAAAGATACATGTAGGCTACAAATCATACTAAAACACCCCCACGTTTGGTGAACAGTCTCATTAAACTATATGCATGTCTCAATATTTCAAGTGGGTCCTATTTATAAAAAAAGAGTACTTCTGCATTTATTCTCGTCAGACTACAGTCTAAGTTTCGATCCCTATTTTAAAGTTTTTTTGCACAATATTATGTCTAACAGAACACTCTGATGCTAATTTTAAAGGGGGAAGTTATAACAAGTCGCAGATTTTGCAATCGCTGTTTGAGAAAGTTAACAGTCTGAAATGCTTGACTAAAATACATTGTGATAGACTTAAATGTCAGTATTTCATCGATAACTCTGTCAAGTAGTTAATAGGAATGTCATGATATGTATATTCTTTTGCTTTGTACATAGGCATATCAAACCCTTCTATTATTTATCCGATTGAGAAAAAAGAAATTTCTAATTTATGAGTGTGATCAACAATAGCATGTCTTTTTGTTTAAATGAATGACTTTGTCAATGACACTATGCCAAGATGAGATTCAGAATCGCATGAAATGCATAACTGAAATTATCACATGAACTATTCCCATACTATTCTCAAAGCATTGCCAAATCATCTTTGTAAGGACGATCGTTGTAGGTAGTTGTTTTTCTTTCAGCTATTATTATTAAGGAATGGTCCACGTGTGTCTGGGCAGCCTTTAAAGACACTAATTCTCACTAGAAATACTTTTGATAAGCAATACATATCGCTGGTCGTCACATTGTGCCATTTCCTAATCCATAATTATATTACACAAAATTCCAGAGACTCTCTGCTTATGCTGTCCTTATCGTAACCGCACTTCGCAGTTGATGAATATATCTGAATACAAAGGTTATTTTCCTTCGTCCTGCAGCGATCATGGGTGACATTGTTATTCAAAAACTAATATTTCGATCATTCATGCCATACCCTACGATGTCACAATGAGGTCACGTACAGCCAAATGAAGTACATGTAGTTTATGGAGGAGAACAAATACTATTTTTTTTTCTCTCTCTCTCTTCCTTTGTCCTCTTCTCCCTCCCTATCGTGCATCTCCATCCATGCGTGCGCGTACGTGTGTGTGTGTACGTGCGTGTGTGTGTGTGTGTGTGTGTGCGTGTGTGTGTGTGTGTGTGTGTGTGTGTGTAATGGTGTGTCTGTGTATGTTGTGTCGATTATCATTGACCATACTTTTTATCGTGCCAGATGAATTCTTTACATTTGTAGTATTTAATATATATATATTTTTTTAATTATTTTATTTGGCAGAAAACACATGATATCAAAATACAGAGTTGAAATAAACAATTAATAGCAAATCACACACAAAAAAGGAACACTGGGTGCACCTGGCTGTGATGCCAGGCATTTGGCAAAGTTAAACAAATAACTATAGTCCGCAGACCGCCCTCACCTATATCCCAACCAGATGCAACCAGCGTTGCAGATTTATGTGACAAGATTTATGTGATAAGAGAAAGAGATACCCATTCAAATAATTAAAATGCATCAAGACAAAAACTTCAAATTTCCTCAGGGTTGCATCACACGCCGTAGACTCATGACCACACCAGCATAAAAAAGTGGCACAATATGAATTATGAGGGGAAATTTTGTATCCGGAGTGTGATGCAACCCTAGAAAATCATATAGACCTATACATACATTAAACATAATACAGATATTAAAAAACATGCAAAATGTGACATTACAACAGTGATAATATTGCACAAATAAAGAAAATGCATAGACGTGTAATTAAAGGAAAATTGCATGAAAGTTGAAAGAACCAACTCAGTCGAGGTTAAAATCACTGAATAGTGAATATACATGTAGAAACATAAGGTGATAAAGGTCATTCAATAATCTATTGACCAAGTGAATAGTAAATTATTAAGTTCAGTTGAAATCTATGGAAAATAAGTATTAACAATATATGAGTAAAAACTGCTGTGGCATGTTGGCAGGCCAGCTTATTAAGATATACATGTATATCTACAAAACATTCTTCTAATAATTATATTGCACTGCTAAACTAAATATCTGAGATTTCATAATAGTATTGGAAATTTAAGTAATGACTCAACTGAGAGTGAACATTCAAATTTAAAGGTGCCTTTATAATAACATTTTACTTTACCCCTACAGAAATATTAATGTGTATTTATAGATAAATACCATTAACTGGAATCAAAACATAATTCAAATTCAGATAAATTGCATAAATATATACCGGTAAACCAACATTGTCATATCAAACTCAAGGTGCATCGGCAAGATGGGATTTTAAGTGACTGCACCATGTGGAAAAAGACATAGTAAGGACCGAGTTCCTGAGTTCAGAAGGTAGAGTGTCCCACAGCCTGGGGAACTCATGTATTGCACTGAAATGCAGTCCATCTTTGCGTGCAAAGAGATGCCTGAACTTCAGGTCTTCTAAATGACGTGGGTTCACTACAATGAGAGAGTTCACAACAGGGCATTGAATGTGTTTGAACAGACACTTAATAATGAAGGCCATTGTACAGTAAGTCCTTCTCAACTTGAGAGAATTCCAATTAAGCACTTGTAGGCGTTCCTCATAGGGCATTTGGCCTCGCCGTTGCTTCAAGGCAAGACGTGTTGCTTCAGCCCTAACGCTCCCTTGACTTCTAACCCTTAAGATATTGACGCAAATTAGACATTTAACAATCAATGGTCTCTCCAGTCCATATCCACTAAATGTACCAATTTAAGGTACTATGTCCCATTGGCAGGCCGACAAAAAAGGAAAGGGTAAATTCCAACGGCATTTGAAAAATAATACTTATTTTAGATAACAACCGTTAGTTTGCGAATCGACTTTAGGTATTGTAGTCCTTTTATCAAATAATCAAAATATACTGAATAGGATATTACAATTACAAGTAGACCACCTTGAAGCTGAGATATAAGAAGACCAATGTTAAATATATTGGAAATCTAATATATATAAGGAGCCCGTATCCCCCGTCCTATACACCCCTTTTATTACCAATGCTTATTAGATTTCAATATTTCAAGTTAATATTGTTTATATTTTTTTTTACAGATTTCCATTGCCATTGGTTTCTTCCTCTGAACATTCTCAAAAAGCTCCCGAGCAAATCCTTTTCTTCTTTGTTTCTCTTCTTAAACTGAAGAAACGCGACGATAAGATTGATGCGATCATGTCAATTCTATTGATACTGATACATCGACCAGTCTTCCCAGGTCCTCTTTCTACACTGAATTAAAAGGACATTGATGAAGATCAAAACCCGTATTATTATGTATCCATTGAGGGTAGTCATGCTATCAAGCTTTGCTTACTTTGTCAACCCTCCTGTTCGATTAGTTACAGCCAGCCTTACTTTATTCTACATATATACCTTTGTCATGTGTAAATTTCCAATGTTTGTTTGTTATATATTGGTAATAATGTAAAAGAAAAAGAAAATCAAACAGATAAATCAAATCAAATCAAATCAAATCTACAATCCACTGATCAACATTGATCCATTAAAAGAACATAACAGTAATACATCTTGTATAAATGGCACTATATAATAGGCCTACCTATTGACTGAAACAAAGAAATTCGATGGAAAACCTTTCTCAAAAACTACCGAGAAATCAACTCTTATTAAGGCATTTAAAACCACATCCCACAAAAATCATGTTCGCTTTGCGTAATAATGGTATCTGTACGTAGTAGTACGCCATTGTACTGTACGCATATTCACTTGTGATTTACAAGGCTCTTGAAATTGCCTCAGGTTGAAAAGTTTCAGAAAGTCTTTGCCATCATGTTCAACTGCTTTTCGGGACTTACCACAATTGTATATTTGCCGTGTAGCCCATGTAGAAGTATCGACGTGTCATTGTAGATCTTCGACCAGGTAGCAAAGCAGACATGTATCTCCTTCATCAAAGAGACTGACAGGTGTGTACACGTATTGCATGAGTGTGTGTGTGTGTGTGTGTGTGGGGGTGGGGTGGGAGACTATCTACGGCCCGCCAAGTTATGCCAATCGTTAGCTGTGGCCCGCGAGCTATAAAAGGTTGGCCAACCGTGCTCTAAATGATCACGTTCTATGTGTTCAGATTATCTTTCCAGTAGTTCGGTGGTTTATTTTTCGTACTTCCTCAAAGTTAACAGACCGCGTTGTATCGACTGCATTGTGCGGGGGAATTACAGGCCAATTGTTAAAGGTATTGTGAAATAGTTTACATTTTAAGGTCCTTAGCAAGCGGATCAAGCACGGTCTATATTCTTCTTCTGTAATGGGATAAAGTGCATATTCAACTCCATCTAAGGTGGGTATATACTCTAGCTTCTATAGGAGGATGACGACCTATGCTGCTGCTGCTACTTCTACTACTACTACTACTACTACTACTACTACTACTACTTCTACCAGTGGCGGATCCAGGGGGAGCGGCCCGGGAGCGATTTTTCGGCCGGCGCGATTTTCAAATTTTTGGGAGCAAAACAAAAGACAAAAACAAAAAGTGCTCACTACCCCCCCCCCCCCCTCCACTGAGAGCAAAATATTGGCCGGTGTGACCGCGCCGTTTGTCCTACCAGTTTCGTTTGTCCGTCGGACATAATATGCGGGTTTTCTGCTCGCACGGATCGTCCGAGGGACGATTCGTGCGGATTGCTATACGCGCAGTCTGTCCCCCCATTGTGTTACGTTTATATTTGATAAAAGGAAGAAACTCGGCAAATCAATGTATTTAGAGTCGTGGTAAATCATGTGGTTGGCATTTTTTCTAGAAATTACATAATAATAACTCTCTACAATTTTTTAAAGCAAATGGGCCAGTCCTTTTGAAAGTAGAAGTGAATATTTTCTTTAAAACCTTTATTCTATGAAGGCATACTCGTGATATCGGCCTCACAATTACTGTTGTAATCGATTGTACGTGGCTTCGTACTTACGGTCAGATGAGCATATTATAATACCATATTCATGACATTGGCAGGTAACTTGGCGTATGCTCCAAGCGGCGGAGCCCCCGGAAGCGCAGGGGTTTTTAGGCATTACAATTAAGGTCAGATTAGCATCCAGGGGCCAGCCTTAGGGCCCAAGATCGGGTCCAGGGGGCAGAGCCCCAGGAATTAGCTCAGGGGTATGGGCATTTAATTACGGTTACATGAGCATACTTTCTTTTCTATTTCTTTCTATTTGATTCTCTTTAATATACTTTTTCAAAAGTATGAGGGTGGGGGGGGGGGGGGGGGGGGGGGCTTGAGCCCCCAAGCCCGCCGTTCCGCGGGACCTGACATGTCGACCTCTAAAAAGTAAATAAGCACATTTCTTGCCTGACTGTAAATTGTGATATATGTCATTCTCCAACAAACGCATAAAAAGTATAATTTACTAAAAGCGAGGAAACATCCCTGAAAATTAGGCCATTTCAGCAAGATCACTGGTATCAAATTAGAAAAAAAAAAAAAAAAAAAAAAAAAAAAAAAATCACTTTTAAAGTTTATATTGGTGGGGGGGGGGGGGGTAGGAGCTGGCTGAATACTTACACCTATGGTGTCGAGGGGCTCTTTCTTCAATCTTTTGTTCGGTAATAAATAAGGTTAGTTTGAAAAAATAAGAAAGGAAAGGAAAGAAAAAAGAAAGGAAAGGAAAAAGTAAAGAAAGTAGAGTTAGAAGAAGACCCATCAGGGCACTCACTTATCCGTATCAGGAGGAAAAATGCACGGGGGCTTGGGGTGAATTAGCCCCCGAAATGCCAAAAAGAGCCCCCGAAAGTCATAAAAGTAACCCCCGAAATGTTTAAAGTATTTTATCTCTGATCCGTATTAGGCATTATAGGGCAGCTATCCATACTCCAATATTTGGGTCGTTTTCCGATCAGAACTAGCCCTAACTATCATTCCAGGATTTTTGTTTCAGAACCTAGGACAAAGTTACCCAATCCCTTTAAGTTTCAAAAAGTAGACTTAATTGAACTGTAATTAGGCTTAGGAACCGGGGGAGGGGGATTGGGGGGCACAGCCCCCCCCAAAAAAAATATTGGGGGGGGGGGGAGGGGCTCAGAGATCATTGAGCCCCCCCCCCAATATCTTTGGCGGGGCTTATAGATATCATTAATTGAGCCCCTCAATCTTTCGGTGGGGCTTAGATATCATTGAGTCCTTATTGGCTAAGATACCATTGAGGCCCCAATATTTTAAGTGGGGCTCAGATATCATTGAGCCGCCCTCCTCCCCAATGATTATATTCTAGGCATGAAACTCATGTATACCTATAATCTACAGACGTACCATTCAAATATAAACATTTTATAAATATTTATTTAGGGAGGAGGGAGGGGGACTCAGACATCGGATCTCGCATATCATTGACCCAAAAAATATTTTTGGTGGATCTCGGATATCATTTAAACCCCCAAATATTTTGGAGGGACTCTGATATCCCCCCCCCATATGTTGGTGGGGCTCAGATATCATAAGCCCCCCCCCTCAAGTGTTTTTGGTGGGGCTCGGATAACATCACGGAGCCCCCCGATATTTGTGTGGGGCTTTGATAACATCACGGAGCCCCCCGATATTTATGAGGGGCCTGGATATCATTGAGCTACCCCCCAAATATTTCGGCCGGGCTCGGTTATCATGAGCCCCCTCCCCAATATTTTGCTCGTGCTGATGAGTTGAGGGAAGTGTATGCCGGAGATATTGACTTTGTAGCATTAACTCGGCAGCTAACAAGCCTCCAAGACGTGTGTGACGATGAGAGTAAACCTATCAAATATACATTAAAACAATCTGTGAGATTTTCAACAACAGTCCAATCTATAAGAGTTCATTCTCAGAGGTGCACATCCTTCTTCTCATTTACCTTACAATCCCGGTTACAACGGCAACTTGCGAGAGAACATGCTCTGTCTTGAAAAGTACAATGACCCAAAGAAAGCTCAACCAAAGCTTAATATTACACATATATAAATCTCGTAAAGATAAACTGAACTTGAAAACTATTGCCCAAACTTTGTTTCCAGGAACACAAGAAGACAAAACTTCTTTGGCACATTTGTCTGAGGATGCATGAAAAGAAGAAAAGTCTGAAATTTTTCGCCGCGATGACATAGACGAGGAACAAAGAATTTATTTTCAGGTGAAAATTAAAGACAAAGAAGGATCTCAGAATTATATTTTTGGGTGGTGCCACATTTCAGTTTTTAAATATGTCCGATTATAGGCATGAGTGACAATAAAAGTTTTGTTTTTCACGTTCCGCGGGTATTATTTTTTTCCAAAGGTGTTAAATATGTGTTTTGTCATACTTAATAAAATAAACTGAATATCTTATAATTCAACGATTTCTTCAAGTAGGCCTACTTTTATTAATTTCTTCAACTGCTTAAAAGTAAGGCTACAAATGCTTTGTTATTATAGAGCTGTAGTGTGAACAGGCTACTTAGTAATTAACATTTATAGATTGGTGCACATCATTATGCTTGATCATCCTCTCCTATCTGCTTGTTTTCATTCCTCTGTTAGTCATCCTTTATTTGCTACCTATGATATTTGAATATTCATTATTTCCTTTTATTATATAAATGATCATGTAAATCCCTATATATGCAAAATAAACCCTGGAGGTTTAAAGTTGTAAAGCCCATGGCAGTTCAACACACGCAATCATGGAATAAGGGTGTCTTCATCGAAGTGTCTCAATAAGTTTAGAACCACGCCCTGTGCCTACCCGCTCAGGCCACTCTACATTCAGGGGCGTCGCTAAGGGGGGGGGGGGGGGGGTGTGGGGTTGAAGTCGGTGGTATTTTTTTTTATGTCGGTCGGCCAGCAATTTTTTCCCCTTAGAACTGTAACTTTTTATCGGACAAAGAAACATTTTTGAAAATTCAGACAATGATTTAGAGTCGGTTCAATGAATCGTCTTCTTTTTCTAATTATTTAATGAAACGTCAAAGCTCCCGCGCTTCGCGCGAGAGGGGGAGAAACTGAATTAAGACAATTAGGGTTAAGAGTAGAGAACGGTATACAACAAATCGTCTTCTTTCTATAATACTTTAATGAAACGTCTAAGCCTCCGCGCTTCGTGTGGGATGGGGAAACTGAATTCAGACAAGGATAAAGAGTCGAGAACGGTACAACAAATCGTCTTCTTTTCATAATAATTTAATGGAACATCTAAGCTACTGCGCTTCGTGCGGGATGCCTTTCACCCACCCCCTCCCCCACCTAGGGAGCGCTTTGCGCGCTCTTTAAGTGATTCGCTTGCTCAATACCGCCCCTCCCTTAAATAAGAACCTAGCTACGCGCCTGCATTATAATATATAGCTATGATGCTTACTAAGTTGACGAAATAATTTGTATATTTATATCGTCGACGAAAATGACCATTTGCGCATAACAATTTAGCCTTTGGCCCCGGGTTTATAGGGTTAAATTTGTAGATATTGGAACCTTTAATTTTGTCGGTAATTAATTGGTGGCTTGTTTTGTCGGGAATCGTTGGCCTCTATACCCCCCCCCCCCCAACTGAAAATGGACTAGCGACGCCACTGACGACACGTCAGGCCTATACTTGCGTTTTGTGAGGGGCTCAAGTATCCGGGCCAGCTAATTATAGTTGAGTATAAGTTTTGAAGAAAAACAAAAACGAGAACTCGCTCTCCAATCGTATTGGTTATTGGGGAATTTCGAATGTCATCAAAATATGTATTTTTCCTTTTTAACATAATAATTGTTTTGCGACTTAATTCAGGCCTGACTAAATATAAACTTTTTCGTAAGGCAACAGACAAGTAATTTAGTCATATACCTGATTAACATTTGAAGATTTCCTACACTAGTGCCTGGCCGTGCGTGTTCCATATTTGAACACTAAGTTGCACCTGAAATTGCAATATGTGCATTATAAGCTCCAAACGCTTTCTTTCATGCAAATACACCAACAAAA